GAGCCCCGCATCGGGCTCCCTGCTCAGCGGGGAGCCTGCTTCTCCCTCTCCCACTCCCTCTGCTTGTGTTCCCTCTCTCGTTGTGTCTCTGTCAAATAAATAAATAAAATCTTTAAAAAAAAAAAAAAAAGAGCCACCAGGTAATATCTAGAGAGTCATAAACAGTTCATATCCTTTTCTCTGGCAATTTTGTTCTGAGAGCCACATGCCAAGGAAATAACCAAAAAGGAAGAAAGAACAATTCACACAAAGGCATGCAGAGCAGGGCTCCTTAGAAGGGTAAGAAATGTTGGAAACAAAATATCCAGCAACAGAGGGAAGGGATACATAAGGTGGGTGGGCTTCAGCTCCATTGCCAGAAAAGGCAACAAAAAAAACACACAAGTACACGGAGCTAACACTTTAAAAACATGTTCTCTGAAGTGAGATCTGAATCTGCATGCACAAGAATCATCTAGAGAGTCTGTTAAAAGGCAGAGTCCAAAATGAAAAGTGGAAGGGGGGTGGAGGGAAGCAGAGTGCAAGAACCGGGTTTGGGGCCCAGGACTCTGCATTTTAAACAAACCCTCCAAATAAGTCCAAGCTGGTGTACAGGACCCATGGCACTTTGGGAAATGTTGCTCTTGAGGCCAGAGACAAAACCCATTTCATCTTTGTAATCCCAGCACTTGGCACATGAAAGTCATTCAATAAAAGCTTCTCTTTAGGGGCGCCTGGGTGGCTCAGTCGGTTAAGGGTCTGACTCTTGGTTTCAGCTCGGGTCATCATCTCAGGGTCCTGGGATTGAGCTCTGAGTTGAGCTCTGCACTCAGCTGGGAATCTGCTTGAGATTCTCTCCCTCTCCCTCCGCCCCTCCCTCCACTCATGCACTTGCATGCTCGCTCTCTCAAATAAATAAATAAATCTTAAAAAAAAAAAAAAAAGCTTCACTTTAATTGCTCATATAGAGGAATTTAACAGTTTGATGATCCATCTGGAAAAATGTAAATTTAAAATGAGCACCATTATTAATTCTTGGCTATTGTATATTACTAAGCAAACAAATGAACAAAACCTCAATTTTCCTGCATTTGAATGCTTAGCATTAGGATGTTTAAAAAGTATCTAAATTCTGAAGTACTTACAGGAGACATGTAATAGGGTGTGCCAACAAATGTTTTTGCAAAACTCATATCATGGTTTAATATTCTAGCTAGCCCAAAGTCCCCAAGCTTAACGTTTTGCTTGCCATCCAGAAAAACGTTGGCTGGTTTCAGATCCCGATGCAGCACGGTATGGCCACCATCGCTTCGTCTGTGACATTCCTTTAGGGCCAGAGTCAACTGAGTCATCACTCGAAGAACAAACTCTTCATCTAAGTATTGTCTGAAACCAAAGCAGTTATACAGCATATAACTTCTGAACAAAACCGTTAAAAAGATGGGATAATGTGAAGTATCTAGTTTTCAAAGTGTACAAATAGGGAAATAAACTCTTATTTTCAATATGAGATATGGGTGTTGATTCACCAGGGATTTTCTAAAGTACTGAGGATCCACTAAACAAATACAAGTACAATCTCCCACATTACTAAGTACTTGATCCCCAATCCTACAACAGGATGCTTAACAGAAATGAAACTTGGCCCATTCTCAGCTTAAGTTTAAAAGATTAATTTACCTTTCCTTTGTTCCCTTTGTAATTACGCTAGCCAGGTCCCCTCCTTCGCAATATTCCATTACAATGTACAGTGTTGTGTTGGTTCGGTCAATAATTCGATCATAGTAACGGACAATGTTTGGATGTTTCAGTTCACGAAGTAAATTCACTTCAGAAACAAGCATCTGTTTCTCAACTTCTGTCATGGAGCCATAGTCAAGTTCTTTCCAAACTAATATCTGAAGTAAGAATTTCCAAGGTATGAATGAACTCATTGTACTCAAAGACAAAGAATGAACATTCTAAAATTAAAAAATTTTTTAAAAGTCACTTCTCTATTAAATAGCTCACACGGTCATTATCATCTAATCTAGTTCAATGAACTTAGGAACCCCTGCGTCTATTTCCATAACTTTGCCCTAAATTTCAAGCAGTAAGTGATGCAATGGGAGAGAGGGGGATGAGGCACATTAGGCCTCCTCCAACACCCTACCCTCAGTTGCTTTGTGGCAGGTTGGTAGAAGGTACTTTGGTCAAAGCTGGAGCAGAGGTAGTCAAAGTTCCTAATCATTCCAACCAGTCAAACTTTTCCAGGGTGAGAGACCTTGTAGAGATCTTGTAAAGATCCCTCCATCAGCAGTCAGGCAGTTTCCTCTCCATTGTTTCTTCCTGTATAAGATCTACCCACACAACTGGGAAATAAGAATCCAATAATCCGAAGAATGGGTATTTTAAATGAGTTCTGACTGCACGACAAAATCTCCAGGTTCTGCTGGCCCTGCCTCTTTCCCATGTCCAAGACGACTACTCTACTCTGAAAAGACCTCAAGACTCAGCTACCTGTCACTAATGGGAGGCCCTTAGCAAGTCAAAGCAGGAAAAAGGAGGAAAAGGGAAGAGAAAGGAAAAAATATAGAGAGAGATCTCAAAAGACGCAGTCTCCCAGCTCTTGAGCGACCCAGGGCAGACACAGACCTGGAAGAGTCGAACTCTTCTTCCAGGCACCCCGCCTTGGAGACCCACAGCCCCAGGCCTCTCGCTCCCCCGCCATCCCAGGGGTCGAGGACGCTCGCTGCAGGCGGGCGTAACCGCTGCAGGGGCGGAGACAGGGAGGTGGCCCGCGCTCACCTTGCCGTCGCTCTTCCTCCGGATCTTCTGGCAGCGGCCATAGGAGCCCGTGCCAATGGTGTACAGCACCTCGTAGTCCTCCGCCCGAGTGGGCATGGCGCGGCCCGCCGCAGGTCTCCTGCAGGTCGCTCCGCCGGCTCGGACTGCGAGCCACACCACCTATCTAGCCGCTCCAGTCTCCAGCCCGGTTTAACCGACGCGGGCCCTGTCCTGGCAGCCTATTGGCCCGCGGTGAAGTCGCTTCGCCTCTCTGATTGGTTGAAAGAACACAACATCCTAGGCATCTTGGGAAAGGCGTATCGCTAGGCAACCGCGTCGGCGTCGCTGTCGGCGTCGGCCTCCCCTCCCCCGCCCCGCCCCGCGCCCTCGTCGGGAGAAAGGGGTGGAGCTAAACCAAAAGGAGGCGGGGGATAGAAAGCGGGTGTAGGCGGGTCTCCGCAAGTCTGTCCCTCCCGCTGAGGTCGCCAAGGTAATCGAAGTCCGGAGACCTCTCCTTGGGTTTCTTTGCACGCTGCCGCCACCAGCTACCTTCTGACCTTTGCACTCTGACCCCTCACAATACCCACTCTCTTCTGCACACGCCCTCCTCTTAGGTTCCTGAACGCTGAGCCTTGGCGGGGTCACTGAAAAGGTGCTGGGAGCTGAGTGCTGGGATGCAAAGTACAGAACCTCTACTAAAGCGTGAACGAGTGCAGACCATGGTTGGGGACTGTGCCAAGCACTTTACATGTGTTGTCTCATTTATTCCTCAACACAAACCTATAATGCAGGAATTGGTGTTCTTTCCCATGAGGAAACAGAAGCACAGAAGAGTTAGATTAGTTGCTTTAGGTCCAACAGCCAGGAAGAGAAGAATCAGTTTGGAAACAGCGGATACTCATAGAAATGATTTAAAGCTTACACATGACTTTAGGGTGTAGTCATCATAGAGAGACTATATTTTTGAACACTACATTTAGAGTCCTGTTTAACATGCACAGGATGTATGCAAAACCTCAGCATAGAATATTCCTTGGTATTTTGGAACACCCAGGAGAATATGGTGACTCTCCGGCAGAGACAGTCAGGTTTACCTTTAAGACGCCTACAAAAAAATTTTTATTAGAAAAGACTACCACATAGGTTATTTGGGGTGCCAAACACATAATTAATTGACAATACTTCATAAGATATAGCTTCTTCTGGGTGCCCAGCTCACCTACTCAGATCAAAGAGTCCCATTTTTACCTGGGAGAGGGGGCCAGCCCTGGGTGGAGGAATAGTCCATTACCAGAAGGCTAATAGTTTGGCAGCGCGTAAGTAGGTCAATTTTCTTTAAATATCTGTTCAGCATGGAGTTGAAAGGGATTTTCTATTAATAAGAATTACAAACCTCTTTATGTTAAAGATAAGGAATTTCTTACATGCACTGAATATAGCATAATAGGAATTGCCAGCCAGAAGCATTTTTAAAGTAACATTCAAGGACACTGTCTTACCTCAAGGGAATAGGACCAATTTAGGTTTCAAAAGTTATGTAAGGAGCCACAAGTGTCTGAGTTAATTGGCGTTGTATTTTTTTTATTTTAGTACTTCTTCAAGAGTGACATCCATGGGGCTCTTTGGCTGGCCTTCCCCCAGTCCAGTCCTGTACCTTCTCTCTGGCCACTCTTCTGCTCTCATGCTTTGCCCCAGTTCCCCAAACCTGGCACACTTTCTCAGCCTGCCCCGCATCACTTTTGTACCTGTTACTCCATTTGCCTGGCATACTATTCACCCTACTCCCTTAACCACTCCCTCACCCCCCGTGTCTGTCCAGAGGACACAACTTGTCTTTCAATACTCAATGCCAGCTTTCTTTCCTATACCCTAGAAGCATGCTAAAACAAGCAATTTTCCCATCTACAGCGTTCACAGACCACGTTGTGCATAAATCAACACTTCCCTTATTATTTATCATTATTCGTTTACAGGGTCTGGCAGTAGCTCAGCTCCAAGCTCCTTGCAGCCAACATAAGTCCTGTAAAAGGAGGCATGCGATAAATTCTTGTTAAATGAAAGTATGAGAAAGTAGCTTATTACTAATCATGCAAGGATTTGGAATGAGCCCTGAAGTATTCATGTTTCAAATGCCCCAGCCCCGTGGCAGAGAATATTGGGGGACGGCCATCCCAGGAGTATGGAGAGTGATGTCTAGATACATATGTTCATTCCACAAATATTCATTGCGCACTTACTAGGGGCCAGGTGTGATGATAGGCATTGATATGCTAGATGTTCATTAGAGAAGAGACAGGGGGGCCGTGATCACAATGATGAAGAAAAAACTGACATAAGCATGGCATAACGAACCCTAACGACCGGCCAGAGTCAGTCCACACCACTGGGTGGGAGTAAGGGGCAGGACAGCCCAGCATAGCCCACTGGAGGCAGAGAAGCCTGTGGAGGCCAATCAGAAACACTTTACAGGAAACACCCCCTCCCCCTTCACTTCCTCTCTCCTTCTTCCATTTTCCACCAATTTTTTAAGACTCGGGTTGCACCCGGTTTCCTCCCTGAAAATTTCCGACTGCCTTCAACCCACGGTGGTCTCCTAAAAGAGGAATTAACTGTGTTTTTTACTCATTCAGAATATGCCATATACTAGTCTATATCACTAGCTTCTCATGTATATCTATCTTCTCTGACCTATTACAACAAAAACTCTCATCCTTCAACAAATATAAACTGAGACCCTGCCAGGTGCCGAAGATACCCCAGTGAGTAGGACTCACATGCAGCCCTGAAGGTGGAGGAGGTAGATGTACTTGTGTGCTTCGTGTACAGAGAAACTCAACCGTTGCAAATTGTGGTCAGAATTAAGAAAATAGAGAACCGAGACAGAAACCAAGATAACATTTATCAGAGAACTAAGAGCTGAGCAGTTCCATGAGAACGGCGCCGAGGATTGAACCTCTCACTCGCACCCAGGGTCCAATTCACTGTCTTCACAGTCTTCTTGCTCATGTGGTTAGTTTTAACTAAAATGTGGTGAAATCCCAAATAAAGAGATTATCTGCACTATGTGTGTTCTGCTCACAAGTGCTCTGCAGGGTTCTTCTCAGACACACCAACTAATTTTGAAGAGAAGCTCGTTGGAAGACTAGTGGGTAACTTAACATGTTCAAAATCAAGCTCCTGATCTTTGCCCCAAATGTAAGAGGAAGTGTAGAGTGTAGAGTCCCTAAGACAAGTGTAGAATCCCTAAGACAAGAAGACTCGTTGTCTTCTTTGTCTTAAGTAACTAATGCATAGGATTTTGTTGCTGTCTATTTTGTTCACTGCCGCATCTCCAGCTCTTAAAACGTACCTGGAACATAAGTGGGCACTCCACTGGCATTTGTACATTGAATGAATGAATGAATGAATGGAGGGAAGGAGGGAGGATCAAATGAAGTGACAAACAAAAGAACAAAGCCATACCTCAATGCCCTCAGCTTCCCTTTTAATGTTACATGAAAGACCCACTAGAGGGCTGTAAATCACTGTATAGTAAATGAGGAGAGTCCATCATGCACACCAGTCCACCTGCAGGGGCCTGTCCTGACAGGAAACTCTGAGATTTGCATATTGAACATTTCAAACCTCAGACAAATGCTTTGTGTGTTTTCTTTCCACAATTCCCAGGAGCAATCTGAAGTCAGGGATTATGGAAATTCTTTAAAGGGCTTAATAAAGGTTTCTAGAAAGAAAAAAAAAAAGGAGAGATTCTTTGTTTATAAAAATCAGAAGCTAAAATATGTTTCTGAAAAAACGTGCATGACATCGTATGTGCTGAGTAGATAACCATGTTCTAGAAAAAAGAATGAGGTGTTATGGAGACTGGCCCTAATAGTTATACACTATTTCATATAAACAGAAGGGCAAGATGCAAGCTAAGAGACAGCTCTGGATTTAACGTCAGGCAGCGAGGGAAGAATACGATGAGAAGCAGTTTATCTTTGAAAACCAAATAGTGTTTGGTTCCGAGCTCTACCACATTTCAAGGAGGGAGAGTGTACCCAAGGCTGACTTGTGTTCAGTATAAACTTTCCGACAAAGAGAGCCATTCACAAATTTTACATGATTTTTCATGATACTTGTAAATGAAGGATATCCGTTATCTCTGAGAATATTGAGAACGTAAATTGGTAAAGAAGAATGTTAAAACTAATCTCAGATGCTGAGGCCATAATGTGTTTCTAAAGGACTTCAGCAGCTTCTAGAGAACACTCCCGATTCTCCCTTCAGGGGGCAGCAGAGTGAAAGTGTAGAAGCAGGGGGTTTGATGTCTAGGAGCCCCTTTCTGTTTTGTGGGGCTGTGTCATCCAGGGAATCCGTTCCACCTCTCTGGGCCCTATAAAATGAGAGCGTGAAATTAGATGACCTTAAATGACCCTTCCAGCTTGGAAAGTTATGATTCTATCTCACTTTCCAGAGCATTCACTGGAACTGCCGTCAGAGCCAGAACACTGGGCTGTTGAGCTCTTCGTTTGACCCCAGGTGACAGTTTTTATTAAGTAGCTATGTCTGCATTAGATTTCTCAACATCCCCTCTCTTCTTTCTTTACCTTTACCAGCCGCACTGATTGAACGACAGACACGGTGAGAGGTCCCCCTGGAAACGTGAGAAAGGTGTAAATCAGCTATCCCTACACAGTGTGATCATCACGCTCAGAGAACTTTCCCTAAACGTTCTGGGAGCCCAGGAGGAGGAGCCTGGATCTGATGAGGATGGCAGGGAGTGCCAGTCAGGGCGAATGTTCCCAGAAAGGCGGCATTTGAACTACATCTAAAGGACGAGTGGGAATTATGAGGAAAGGGACTGTGGGTAAAAGCAGGGAGGTGAGGGAGGGGCTGCAGATGGTTACCTTGTGAAACAGGTGGTCAGACAGGTGAGCAGGACGACCCGAGGGCGGAGGCAGCCTTCTGTTGGAGTCAGACGCTCAACTGATTGAGCCACCCAGACTCCCCGCCAGGAGCATTTTCAAGTGGAGTGGTGTAGAAGCGAGAAGGACCAGATGGTGAGGGCAGATAGAGTGTGTGTGTGTGTGTGTGTGTGTGTGTGTGTGTGTGTGTGTCCATCCTGTGGGGCCCTGCCTTTCTGCCTGGCCCTGTCCCCAGAATGAGTGGCCTTCCACCCTCCTTGCCCCACTCCCCTGCCATCAGCCTGCAGCTCACTACAGGTCACCTCACGGAGCTCATGGATCTTCACAGCATA